CTTACTAGCTTTTAAGCTTTTACCCATAATGAATCTTTATTCTATTCTCTTCCTCAGCTCAAAATATCATAAGAAACTGTTGGATTACTCAAAAACACCTAACGTAGTTAAATTTTACTCTTTTCACTTCTCTCAAAAGGCAATATAACCCTTTAGATGAGCCGATCAGACAAGCTTGGCAACCGCCGGAAAAAATTGAGACTCGCCGTAGGCATTGTGTCTCGGAACATCGGATGCCGAAGATAATAAAACCCTAGAGCCACCGCCACCATTTTCGCCGGAACCGCATACAGAATTATTGTGATAGCCAAACAGATTGCTATGAACAGTTTAGTCGCTCTTGGATCTCTCCAGCTAACTAATGCTTGAATCCGTTCGCCTTGCGCTGCAAAATCGCCTAGAATTGTCTGAACCCTCACCGCTAAGATCCTTAAGCGGTCGTACCTAGCTCGAATTACTTCTGGTCTCCTTGAGCTTGGTATGGTGTCGAATTCTTCGTCTAACTCATCCGGATCAACTGTTTCAGCTTGTGATAACCGGATATCCATACCAGCCGGTATCTTGGGTCTAAACCGGTAGTACCAAACTCCGATCATCACCACGTACAAGAATGCGGTTGGYACTACCAAATCAGGGTACCAAACAAGAACCAAATATAGAATATGGACTAGCACTGTTGTCACCGGATTCCTCCACCGCCGAATGTTATCCAACCATTTAGCTAGACCCACTGCCCAAGCTAAAACTCCAACAATTCTGTACCAATTGGCTTTGCTCTTCCTCATGCTCCACGCGTGTGAATCCGCATCCAACATATATCGAACCACCTCAGGTCCCAACGGTGGTTCTGCTCTAGCCAGCCATGCTGCAACCATTTTTGTGGCGGCTCCTCTCAATGCATCCTGTTGTGCTACGCCTAGAGGCCTTATGTAGTGCATCCGAGGCAGAAGCGGTTGTCCATAAGCTGCACAAACATCAGGTAGCAGCGAGGGGCACGCGAACCGGACCGCCACTTCGATTTCACCCATTTTCTTCAGACCGCTAGGTAACAGAACCAAGAGAGGATACGAATTGGTGTACACTTTGTTGCTCTCTAACGTTGAAACCCGAATCCGTATCTTCCCAATTCGAGTGTCAGGTCTATCATCGGAGACATCAGAGAACATCCTCCAATTGTCAAAGACTCCAACAGTTAACACGGTGCAAGGATCGTAAACCTGCCAAGTGTACTGCTCGTGCCATCTCGGGTCAAAACTGTCAGTTATGGTCCGTGTCCGAACCCATTTCTTGCCATACTTAGCAACACAATAAGCATCAGTTGAACCTTTCCCTCCGTTTTTAGCCTTCATCGGCAACAACCCACGAGCTCCAAGAATTCCCAATTCAAGTATTCCGATTGGCGGTTTCCAGAGCTGCTTCGCCGTTGGGCGGAAATCGCTGCACACGTGAGCCGCCTCTTCAAGAACATGATACCCACCTTCAAGACAAAGCCTTAGGCTAATCCTTCCGCAATAAGG